ACGGCGTACATTGTGTTCCTACAATGAATTAACTAACCATTGTCAGAAATATCTATAAAATCACTTTTTGAGAAGCTAACAGTCACGCAGCTGATCAAAAAAAATTATCATCTTTTATGTAACCAGAATGTTCATTACCGTGCATCAAAGAGCCCGCTACTGGACCCCCTCCTGAGTCAGTTGAAACCAGTTCAAACACATTTCTTCGACGTCACTTTTAATATTATCTTACCATCGACGGCCAGTTCTCCCAAAGAATCTCTCTTTCAGGTTTTCCGGCTAAAAATTTGTGCCAGATTCCCATTTCTGCGCCATGCGTATCGGCTATGTATTCAAGGCGCTTCAGAATATGGCTCTACTTCGTCTTCAGATAAATGGATTAAATCCATTCATCTGAAGTCGGAGTGCAATGAAATTTCCAGTGCACCGGCAAATATTCTTTATACTATGTTACCAGTAGCGGTCGGTATAAACCAGGAATCTTTTAATGACAATCTTGTAAGCTAATAATTATGTCAACAAGATAGTATGATCATTTATCAAACGGATGCGAATTCGGTCCGAGTTTTGTCACACTTTGGTCTAGACTACAACAAAGAGTACATATAGACAGACTAATTGCAACCGGACGGCTGAAGACGGAAACATAAGTATCGCTCAAAATGGCGCGCTGTTTGTATTAAGTGTTTTAAACAATGCAAAGTATTCAATATTGCAGTATTGTATTAAACTGGAACCTTCACTGATTCTTTGCCTCTTCATTTGGAAAAATCAGTCCAAAAAGAGAGCTTGTCTTCCTTTTATACAAGAAACTCGCGCTCATTTAAGTGTAATTAAACATAATGACCTATAAAATTAATGGTTGTAATAAAAATATATTTTTAAAAAGACGTAAATACGTTAATACACGAATCTGTCACAGGCAGCGCAACAATCAAACTCAACAAAATAACGCTGAAGTCAAGTAGGCCTAGGGTCTATTTAATAGTAAAAACACCGTCGAGAAATAGTGGGCCTATCTGTATAACAGGAGACATTCGTATGATTAACAGTATAAATACATAAATGAATTACTCCCAAATCTATGGGGGGGGGGGGATA